GCACCTTCATTTCACCTTAACTGTACCCCTCACTGTGCCACTCACTGTGTTCCTCGCTGCACCTTCATTTCACCTTAACTGTACCCCTCACTGTGTTCTCACCGTGCCCCTCACTGCAGCCTCACTCTACCTCTGACTGCACCCTCATTTTGCCCTGACTGTACCCTCACTGCACCCTCATTGTGCCCATTGCTGTGCTCACTCCTGTCCTCAGGGGCTCCTTTGAGCCAAAGCAGCCATGTTTTGTCCCTTGCTCCACCTTCTGGCCCGATTCTCAGCCTTCTCCCTCAACATCTGCTTTTGGAAAATACCTCCATCTCTGACTTAGAGACAGAAAACCACACCCAGAGGGCAGAGGAAATTCCATGGGTCCCAGGCCAGAATTGATTCTAATTCAGCCTCAGAGGCTTCTCCCCAACTTAGTTTTTCCACAGCTGCTCAGCAGGCCTTACAATAATAGCAGGGATTCCCCTTACTTTCCTCACTGTCTGTGAACCCCTTGAGTTCCGTGGCCTCGACCCCAGCCTCCACGCTAGACCCTCAAACGGCTACTGGCTACAGGGCTGGTCCCTCCATCTCACCCTTTGTCCAGCAGCACCTCTGAGTTCCAAGAACATTCCTGAGGGTTCTGTCCTCCCACAGCTTCTGCTCTGAGGGCTCTACCCCACTGAGGAAAATGGTTCTAGACTCTACTCTTTCCACATCAAACTTCCTCTGCCACCTCCCAGAACTCTGACAGGAGGAAGTTTAAGAGACCAGCTACCACTCACTGGACCCTGGCAAATGTCCGGCACCCACCCACTGTCTCTAAACCCTCCCGACAGCCTGGCAGGTAGGTGTTGGTGGGCCTACCCTACTGTCACAGTCTGTGACAGGGTTGGTTGGTGAATGAATGAATGACAGCTGTTTACTTCCACAGGTCAGGTTGGAAGCTCAGGAAGCTGAAGAGAGTTGCCGCGTTTCCGCCAGGACTCTGATTCTTGTTCCTTCATGTGACTACTCTGCTGCCTCAAGTCATGTCCCTGGGAGGCATGCCGGGGCAGGAGGGCCCGTTTCAGAGCTGAGAGGGGAGATGGTTTCACAGTAGCTGTGGCAGAGGTATCAAAGAGCTGCCTGGAGCTCCAGGAACTTGGATCATCAGCCTAGCTCAAAGCAGGTCCCAGAGAGGGATGTAAAGTTTGTTATTTTTGTCCAGCTACCACAGACAGGAAGAAGCAAGGCCACAGATAATTTTGAAGCAGAGTAGTGGTTGCAGAAATGAGGGGTGGAGAGAGCAGAGACAGACAGCCTGGCGGGGGTGACAGGGCTGAGAGTGGCAGGTCCCTAGTGAGCCAAGTCTTCCACTGTCCACAAGCCACAGCCCCCATTCCTGGCCTCCCAGGACCCCACCTCCTCTTAACTCCTGGCAGAAAAGATGGACAGCACCAAGTCCCACTGTACAGAAGGCGTCATGGGGCCTTCCCTCCACTTGCACAGAAGCAATGGGGGGGGGGTCAGGTATCTACCTGCAACTCCTCTGTGTCCTGCCCCCCCAAGGTAAGGTGGCCCCTAGAGTGGACATTCCTTACCCGTGTGTCCGTCTGTCTGTCTTCAGACCTGGAGAA